ACCCATGTCCCCTGCATTGGCAGGCAAATTCTTAACCACTGCACCACCAGGGAAGTTCCAGATCCGTCTTCACATTTTCTATGATATCCAAGTACCACCTGAGGGAGGAACCTATAAAAGTAACTTCCGGGACTTCCCTAGTGGTGCCATGGTTAAGAATCCGCCTGCCAATGCAGGGGACACGGGTTTGAGCCCTGGTCCGGGAAGATCTCACATGCCATGGAGCAACTAAGCCCGTGTGCCACAACTACTGAGCTCACGTGCCACAACTACTGAAGCCCACGTATCTAGAGCCCGTGCTCCGCAACAAGAGAAGCCACCACAATGAGAAACCTGCGCACTGCAACGAAGAGTAACCCCCGCTCATGGCAACTAGAGAAAGCCCGTGCGCAGCAACGAAGACCCAACGCAGCAAAAAAAAAGAGAGAGAGAGAGAAAGAAAAGAAAATATGAAGACAGATCTGAATCACTATGAGTAAATGAGGCCCTGCATGAACTGAAGGATGAATAACTTTTCCACTATATGTGTTAATGCTACTTAAAACCTGGTCCCTTTACCTCCTTGAAACGTAAGAATCACCATGAATTCTACCAACCAGTGACCTCAAGAACACAAAGAAAAAGGAATGCTGCTGGAAACAGCACCAGTGAAATAAAGGTCTTATTTCAGTTTTAAAATCTGTGCATGTTTTATTTATTTTGTCAAGATTACAGCTTCTCTCTCTCCAAAATATTCAACGTTTAATTAAAAAGTGCTTCTCTTAATGTCCAGAGGGAAAATCTTTAACTGAGGCAAAGTCATAAAACGTGCCACATTTGTTCATTTTGTCCAAATTGAAATTGCTCGTTTAACTTAAAATCAGCTCCCCCGCATTGTGTTACTCGGTCCCTCTTTCTAGCATCTGAGTTCTCTTGGAGGGCATTTTGCCAGCTCTCTCGTGCAGTTATAGGAAGCAAAGCTGTGTCTGAAAAGAGCTAAACTAAATATAATGTGAACTTGAATTTCTGCAGTGTCCTCCCAACCCACCTTCCATACTCTGATGAGTGATGGAGAGGTTGGGTGTATGCTTTTTGAAGGTTACCTAAATGGCATGTTTCATACCGTAGGGCTCATTCTGCAGACTGCCATTTCCACCCACTAAGATATATTGGGAGATCCTTCCATGCTGGTGTATGTAGATGTGGTTTGGCCCTTTCCACTCATAAATTACCCCCCTTGTCCATTCTTCTCCTAACAGATGTGTGCATTGTTTTGCTATTGCAAAGAACGCTGTAATGACTATCTTTGTGTGAGGTTCCTCGTGTGCGTGTTTCAGAGTTTCTCTAGGCTACGCAGCAGTGGAATTGCTAGCTTGTAAACTTTAATTTCAGCGTCGCTAAATTCTTCCTTCCTTGCTGTTCTGTACTCCATGATTCATGGAGTGTATGAGAGTTCTCATTTCTCTCCTCACCTACACTTGCATTTTAATGTTTGTCAACCCGATGAATTTATTGTTTTAATTTGCATAATGATCTCTCTGATTATTGGGGATATTGAGCATCTTTTGAACTCGGCTGCGTGGTTTCTTCTGTCATTATTAACTCTGTGTTCCATCCAGTTCTCAGTTCCTGGAGGGAGGGCTGGGTCCCACATCCAAAACACAGCCCCATCCAGGTATAGTTTCTCTTTCTGTGAGCCTTTCCTACCTGACCTCTGTGCCCCACCTTGGAGCCCTACCCTCCAGGCTTAATAAGCCTCTTGCAGCTCTGCCATGCTGGGTTTGTGCTCACACAGCGCCTCCTGTCTGAAATGCTGTACCTCTTCCAGGCCATTTGAATGTACCTACTCATGTCCCAAGATTCATCTCCAGAGCTTCCTCCTCTATGAGGTCTTCTATGACTCCCAGCCCTCCCTCCCATCTCAGGATCACCTCTGTGCTTCCACTGGCCACGTACGAACTTCTCACTGCATGTGTAAAACTTCTGAGCATCTAATGACTCATCTGTCTCCCCACCAGACTCTGGACTCCTTGAGGACAGGTGCCATGTCTTAACCATCTCTGAACTCCTGGTTCATTGGTCAGGGCTGGACAGAGGGCAGATGCACAGTACATGTTCGTCGGATGGGTGGATGAGCTTCGAGGTCAGCTCCTTCCACATCAGTTCTCTGCAGACCGTGAAGTCCTTAAGGACAAGGACTGTACTGAATTCATACCACCGTCCCCCACGGTGGTTTATAGGGCCAAGTGTTTGTGGCACTCAGTACCTGTTGTTGACATGACAGTATGATTTCCTGGTAGATCAGAAAATGACTTTGGTCAGAAATTCCTGGACTTTCCATCCCAGCTTCCTGTTGGTAAAACCCAGGGCAATTTCCTTGGCCTCTCCAAGCCCCAGTTTCCTCATCTTCATGAAGAGGATGATAATAGCTGTGAGGACTGGTATAAGGATGAAATAAGGCTGTGCATATAAAGCGTTTGGCACATAATCATATGCATCTGGCATTGATCCCTGGTCAGGGAACTAGATCCCACATGCATGCTGCAACTAAGAGTTTGCATATCACAACTAGGGAGCCTGTGTGCCACAACTAAGGAGCCCGCCTGCCGCAACTAACACCCAATGGAACCAAATAAATAAATAAATATTTTTAAAATAAATAAAGATGAAGTCTGTTTTTTTTTAACTTATTTATTTATTATTTATTTTTGGCTGTGTTGGGTCTTCGTTTCTGTGCGAGGGCTTTCTCTAGTTGTGGCAAGCGGGGGCCACTCTGCATCGCGGTGCGCGGGCCTCTCACTATCGCGGCCTCTCTTGTTGCAGAGCACAAGCTCCAGATGCACAGTCTCAGTAGTTGTGGCTCACGGGCCTAGTTGCTCTGCGGCATGTGGGATCTTCCCAGACCAGGGCTGGAACCCGTGTTCCCTGCATTAGCAGGCAGATTCTCAACCACTGAGCCACCAGGGAAGCCCTAAGTCTGGTTTTTCTAGCACAAGAACAGTGTCTTGCAGAAATCAGGTACTCAATATTAAGAAGTGGAGCTGAGGGACTCCCCTGGTGGCGCAGTGATTAGGAATCCACCTACCAACACAGGGGACACAGGTTCAATCCCTGATCCGGGAAGATCTCACATGCCACGGAGCAACTAAGCCCGTGCGCCACAGCTACCGAACCTGCGCTCTAGAGCTTGCGAGCCACAACTACTGAGCCCATGTGCCACAACTACTGAAGCCCACGTGCCTAGAGCCCGTGCTCCGCAAGAAGAGAAGCCACCACAATGAGAAGCCCACGCACCGCAGCAGAGCAGTTCCCCCACTAGCAGCAACTAGAGAAAGCCCACGCGCAGCTACAAAAACCCAACGCAGCCAAAAATAAATAAATATAAATAAATTTTTTTTTAAAAGAAGTGGAGCTGAACTCAATGCTTTACAGTCAGGTACTCAATAAATATTAAATGAAGCCAAATTCACCTCCCTGCATTCTGCTCCAATCCTACCTTAAAGAAGTCATTCACTTTTGTGGGAGGAGGGGCAGTCCCCCTTTTTTCTAGCAGAGATGTGCTTTTGATTTTTCCAGAGAATGATGGTCCCTGTGGTAGACTGTTAGTGTGGTGAGTCCCCAGTGAACCACTCCTGCTGATAGGAATACTCTTTGCAGCCACCTCCCACCATGAGCCTGGTTTGACCATATGTCTCTTTGACCACAGGGAACTTAACAAACCAGTGTTAAGACATGATAAGGTCTTACACATTGAGTCTTGTCTCCTTGAGAAGCTCCTTCTCAGAACGCAGTCAGCATGCCAGGAAGAAGTCCAAGCTGGCCACAGAGAAGAGACGACACCCGACGAAGAGAAAGTGATGTCCAACCAGCCCCAAGCTGAGGCACCAGGCATGTGAGAAGAGCAGCCACCTTCACAGCAGATGCCACGTGGAGCAGAACTGAGCCATACCCACGGAGCCCTGCTCAAACTGCACAGTCATAAGTAGGTAAATGAGTATGGTCATTTTAAGCTACTAGGTTTTCGGCTGGTTTGGAACACAGCAAATGGTAAGTAACCCACAAGCAGAGCATGTTCTGAGAGTGCAAGTCAGGGACCTGGGGGTGGAGCGTGCTGTGGCTTGGAGACCCACCAGGTGGTAAGCTTCAGGATGAGATGGTAGGCGTGACTGTCTAACCCGGAACCCCTTCTCTGGGGGATTCTTCCTTGGGGCCCCAATTCCCAGGTCCCTCCCCTGTTGTTACCAAGGGCCCTTATCGGTTCAAGGTGAGTTTGTCTTAAACAGTAGGAAGATGTCCAGGTGCACATTATAAGAAGTCCAGAGTGGGGGGGGCACTTCTGGCCAGGAGGGTGGAGCAGTTCAGTGAGGTCATGGGGGACCCAGATTGTGCTGCAGTGTCTGCAGTTCCTCCAGTCACAGGGTATCTGCCAGGAGCAGTCTGCACTGCATGGTTCTTCACTCACTACAACAGGAGCAGGGAAGGCTCCCAAGCTTTCCCAGTACAGAAAAGAGTTTCCCAGAACGCTTCCTATGCGCACACCTTTCCTTGCATCTTACTGGTCCAAGCTGCGTCATATGTCCCTTTCTGAACCAATCACTTTGTGTGTAGGGGGAAGGGTTAGAATTCCCTGAGACCAATCAAAACTACTCCTGGATTGGAGAGGGCATGGCTAGTTCTTCTGAAGTCCATTGGGTCTTGGGGAAGAAATAGATGTCTGGAAATAATTGGGGTTCTGCTAGGGAGGTCATGCAGGGTTAAGATCCAGCAGTGTCCACTATAGGAGCCCTCCACACAGGGCAAGGCACCCTGGGCTTGAGCAAAGTTCTACTCAGCTCTCACATCCTTTCCTGGAATTATGGGGGAAAGGTGTGTGTGTGTGTGTGTCCCCAGGAGGAAGGGCTGGGGGTAGTTTGGGTCCTTAGAGCGTCTATCCTTCCTCAGTAGGTCTGTCCAGCACTGCACATTGCCCCTTCCCCCAACCTGAAGAGCGGCGCCAAGCAACGGCGAAGGTTCAGATGTGTGTCTCTCTTTCTTTATTAGCGCTTTCTTTGAGTGGAGGGCGCCTCTTCTGGGTTGTATCTACAACTTCAAGTTCTTGCTTTTGCTCTTTTCTTTCTCATCCAGTGCTTTCTGCAAGTTCATGTTCACCGCATTTTTCCGGTGCCACCGTCCTGCAGAGAGCAGGGAAGGAACCAGCACAAATCACCCAGAGGACCTCTGAAGTGTCCAGGCCCCAGTGGTAACCCATATGTCTTCTGAACCCACCCCAGAGTTCTAGCTGCTGCTGTGGTCTCTCTCTGGACCTTGGGGCCAACACACCCTGCCCAGGGAGTGCCCACCTCCCACACCCCCAGCTCCCCACCTACCCAGATCATCCGTCTTCCTGCCATGCCAGTGCTGTAAGTCCCTCACTGATTTCTCAATCACCTCAGGGGTGTAGGAGGCCTTCATGAGGCTCTTCATCTCCTGTGGGGCCCCTGTGGAACCCCATGAAGCAATCCCCAGAAGCCCCAAGTCAACAGAGTTCAGGTACTCCAGGGTTCCTATGTCAGTCTCCCCTGTGGATGGTGGATTGTGGAAGGGTGGGGTGTGGGGAGAGTTAGGCAGAGGGAGGCCGGCCTAGGCTCAAATACCAGCTCCATCATTTATGCACAGTGTGGCCTCAGACAAGACTTTAACGTCTCAGAGCTTTGGTCTCTTAATCTATTCAAAGGAATAAAATGTTCTCGCGAGACTGGGAAGATTACGTTCATTGGAGCAGCTGGCACGTGGCAACTGATACCTGTATTTTCAGAAAATGTTTATGTCTGTGTGTAAAGTGAAAACACACACACACAAGAAAAGAAGTTACCGTGATCAAAAGTCAGAAAAATCATCAAACAGAGGACCAAATTCCAAAAGATAACAAGGATTTGAATGATCCGTTACAGAATATAAAATAAGTATCATTTAATGTGTGAAGTTGTGAAAAAGAGAATAAAAGTATAAGCAAAGAATAAGAAACTAACACGACATTGTAAAACAACTATACTCCAATAAAAAATACAAAATAAACTAACACAACATTGTAAAGCAACTATACTCCAATTTAAAAAAAGTTAACACAACATTGTAAAGCAACTATATTCCAATAAAAATTAATTTTAAATAAATAAATAAATCTATGAGAAAAGAATAAGAAACTATCCAGAAAGAACAGACAGATTAGTAAAAGAAGCAAATGGAATTTCAGAAATTAAACATAATAGTTGAAAGGCAATGGATGGTAAGAGGCCTGGGATTTGCTTCAAAATAAACTGGGGTGGGGCTTCCCTGGTGGTGCAGTGGTTAAGAATCCACCTGTCAATGCAGGGGACACGGGTTTGAGCTCTGGTCCGGGAGGATCCCACATGCTGCGGAGCAACTAAGCCCATGTGCCACAACTACTGAGCTCACGTGCCACAACTACTGAAGCCCGTGTGCCTAGAGCCCGTGCTCCGCAACGAGAGAAGCCACCGCAATGAGAAGCCTGTGCATTGTAACCAAGAGTAGCCCCTGCTCGCCGCAACTAGAGAAAGCCCGCGCGCAGCAAAGAAGACCCAACGCAGACAAAAATAAATAAATAAAATAAAATAAAAATAAATAAATAAATAATATATAAATAAACTGGGGTGGGAATGAATGGGTGAGTGGGTGGGAAAAAAGATGAAACAAGGTTAGTCTTGTATTGATAATTGCTGAAGCTGTATGATAAGTGCACCATGTATTTATTAAACTATTCTAAGTTTGAAAATTGACATCATAATGTTTAAAAACAAATTCAACAAACAGGTAAAAGAGCTGATTATATACAGCTGAGAAAAAATGGTAAACTGGTAGATATAGCTAAAGAAATTAACTAGAATGCAGCACAGAGTGGGGAAATAATGATGTGGAAAATATGAAAAAGCTGTTAAATGAAGATTAAATGAGAAGGCCTAACATATGTCTAATTGTAGTTCTGAAGGAGAGAGTGGAGAAAACGGGGAGGGACAATATGTGGAAAGCTAGTGGCTGGAATTTTTCCAGAATTGATGAAATATATGAATCCTTAGATTCAAGAATAACAATTCCCCAGTGAGTGTAGGTGAAAATAATTCCTTACCTAGGTACAACCAAGTAAAATTTAGAACACCAGAGACAAAGAAATCTTAGAAGTAGCCATAGAGAAAAGACAGGTTAGTTACAAAGGATAACGAGTTTGATTAACCATCAAAGCCAGAAGGAAATTAATTGACATCATCAAAGTGCTTTACAAAGAGAAATCAACAATCTAGAACTGTTTACAATAACTGTCTTCCAAGAATAGGATGAAATAAAACTTTTCTGAGCTTAAAATTTACCAACAACAGAATCTCACCCCAAATATCTTCTAAACAACATACATCAGAAAGAAAAAAATAATCCCAGAAGAAAATCTGAGATAAAAGAAGGAGTAGTAGGCAAAGAAAGTGGAAACATTGAATAAATCTAAATACACGTCAATTATGATAACAGTACCAATGTTGAATATATGGGCAAAATAATGACTGTGATAGATAAGTGAAGATTTAACATATGCTAAGCACAGTTTTCATTCAAAACTTTACAGAACTTACTCACTGAATCAACCCTAAGAAGACGGGGGTGATTATTACCCCCATCTTGCTGTTGAAGTCACTGAAGCACAGAAAGGCTAAATCACTTGTCTAAAGTGACACAGCGGGTAAGTGAAAGATGGAGGACGCAACCCCGGACCTGCGGCTCCAGAATCCACAGTTTAAACTACTTTGCTGGGCTTCCCTGGTGGCGCAGTGGTTGAGAGTCCGCCTGCCGATGCAGGGGACACGGGTTCGTGCCCCGGTCTGGGAGGATCCCACATGCCGTGGAGCGGCTGGGCCCGTGGGCCATGGCCGCTGAGCCTGCACGTCCGGAGCCTGTGCTCCGCAACGGGAGAGGCCACGACAGTGAGAGGCCCGCGTACCGCAAAAAAAAAAAAAAAAAAAAAAAAAAAAAAACTACTTTGCTTATGTATAGTAAAAAAAACCCTGTAAAATAATAACATGTTAGCTGATATGGGGGGTGGAGAGAATAAATGTGAAGCTGTCCAGCATCCTTATATTGTTCAGAAAAGCTGGAATACCTTGATTAACTTTAGAATTTGTTAACTATGCATGTAACAATGTCAAAGATAGGGAATTTCCTGGCAGTCCAGTGGTTAGGACTCCACGCTTCCATGGTCGGGGAACTAAGATCCTGCAAACCACACGGCGTGGCCATAAAAAAAAAAGGCAAAGATAACCACTGAGAGAATAGGAAAAGTAAGGACAAAAATTGGATTGGGGAAAAAGGGAAGCTCACTCAGATCCAAAATAAGGGAAGGAGAAAGAAAGCAGCCTAGAAAAATTAGGACAAATGGAAGATACAAAATAAGATCATAAAAATAAATCTGAATATATCGGTAATTAAAATAAATATAAATGGAGTAGGCCAACTGATTAAAAAACAGAGGCTCAGGCCACAGAAAATATTTTCCAGATATATATTCGTTAAAGCATATTTAAAGCAAAAGGACACAAAGAGGATAAACATGGAAATACAGAAAAAGATTAATACCACAAAAATACAAATCAAAGCAATCTGGTCATACTATACTAATATGGGACAAAATAGACTGTAAAGCAAAAGCACTATAAGAAATAAAAGCAGGGCTTCCCTGGTGGCGCAGTGGTTGAGAGTCCGCCTGCCGATGCAGGGGATACGGGTTCGTGCCCCGGTCCGGGAAGATCCCACGTGCCGCGGAGCGGCTGGGCCCGTGAGCCATGGCCGCTGAGCCTGCGCGTCCGGAGCCTGTGCTCCGCAACGGGCGAGGCCACAACAGTGAGAGGCCCGCGTACCACAGAGAAAAAAAAAAAAAGGTGGGGAAAAGCCTCCTGGTGGGCTTCCCTGGTGGGGCAGTGGTTAAGAATCCGCCTGCCAATGCAGGGGACACGGGTTCGATCCCTGGTCCGGAAAGATCCCACATGCCACGGAGTAACTAAGCCCGTGCGCCACAACTACTGAGCTTGGGCTCTAGAGCCCACGAGCCACAACTACTGAAGCCACCCGTCTACAGCCCGTGCTCTGCAACAAGAGAAGCCACCGCAATGAGAAGCCCGCGCACCGCAACGAAGAGTAGCCCCTGCTCGCCGCAACTAGAGAAAGCCTGTGCTCAGCAACAAAGACCCAACACACACCAAAATAAATAAACTTATTTTTTTAAAAAAATGTGAACTCTGACCCCAGACTGCCAGAGTTCAAATCCCAATCCCAACCCTGACTATCCCTAGCTGTGTGCCCTTAAGCAAGTTACTTAACCTTTCCATGCCTCATTTTTTCTTTCTTTAAAAAAAAGGGGGGGGGGGAATTATAGCACTATAGCATTCACTGTATAAGATTCTTGTGAGAATTAAAATGTACATGAAGTACTTAGAGCAGGGCTTGGTGAATGTTACATGCGACCCATAAATGTAGCCATTATTATTATTTAAAAATAGTTCCAAAGAATCTACAAACAAATTATCGGAATTAATAGGTGAGCTGAGTCAGGCTTCTGGATTTAAGATTAAAGACCAAAACTTAAAATTGCCTCCATGTATACAAGCAGCAAAGTTAGAAAATGTGATTTTTAAAAAGTTACTAGGGGGAAGGGTAAGCTGTGACAAAGTGAGAGAGTGGCATGGACATATATACACTACCAAACGTAAAATTGATAGCTAGTGGGAAGCAGCCGCATAGCACAGGGAGATCAGCTCGGTGCTTTGTGACCACCTGGAGGGGTGGGATAGGGAGGGTGGGAGGGAGGGAGACGCAAGAGGGAAGAGATATGGGAACATATGTATATGTATAACTGATTCACTTTGTTATAAAGCAGAAACTAACACACCATTGTAAAGCAATTATACCCCAATAAAGATGTTAAAAAAAAAAGATACTATTTGCAATAAGCAGCAAAAAAATAGATAAATAAGAGATTCTTCAAAACAAGTCTAACAAAAAGCTGCGTAATCTTTATTAAAAAAATGACAAAATGTTATTGACGGATATTGAAGGAAGATTGAAATTAACGGAGTTGTAGACCATACTCATGGATTGGAAAATTCATTATCAAAAAGCTGACAACTGTCCCTAAATTGAGCTGCAGGTTCAATGTTCTTCCAATCAAAATACCAACAGGGTTTTTTCATGGAAATTGACAAGCTGATTCTAGAATTTATATGGAAGAGCAAAGAACCTAGAGTAGCTAAGACATTAGCTGCTCCTGCTGCTGGTGATGGAGTGGTGGGGGGTGGGAACAGCCCAACCAGATATCAGACTACTTATAATACCTTGATAATTAAAAGTGTAATATTAAACCAGTGGGCAGAATAGAGAGCCTGGAAACTGATCCATGCACACAGGGAAACTTGATGGATACCAGCGGTACCACTGCAGGTCACTGGGGTGGGGGGAAAGATGAGATTATTCAATAGAAGGTACTGAGACAATTGCTAATCCACATAAAGGAGGAATTAACAATGAATCTCTGCTTCACACTGAAAAGAGAAATCAACTCCAGATGGATTAAAGACTTAAATGTGAAAAGCTAAGCTAAATATTTTAGAAGACGATGTAAAAGATTATCTTTATGACTCAGCATGGCATAGGATTTCTTCAACCCACTCCTCCTGGAACCTTCTCTATCTCAGTAAATAACAATTCCATCTTTTCAGTTGTTCAGGTCAAAACCCTTGACATCTGGGCTTCCCTGGTGGCGCAGTGGTTAAGAATCCACCCACCAATGCAGGGGACACGGGTTCGAGCCCTGGTCTGGGAAGATCCCACATGCCGCGGAGCAACTAAGCCTGTGCACCAAAACTACTGAGCCTGTGCTCTAGAGCCCACGAGCCACAACTACTGAGCCCACGTGCGGCAACTACTGAAGCCCGCGTGCCTAGAGCTTATGCTCCACAACGAGAAGCCCATGCACCACAACGAAGAGTGGCCCCCGCTCGCCGCAACTAGAGAAAGCCCGTGCGCAGCAACGAAGACCCAACGCAGCCAAAAAATTAAATAATTTAATTTATGAAAAACAAAAGAAAAACCTTGACATCAACCTTAATTCCTCTCTCACACACCCCAAATCCATTGATTAGCACATTCTGTTTGCTCTGCCTTACACACAGGGCCAGACTCCTCCTGCATCAGGTCACCTTCACCATTATCTCCCTGTGCCGCCATACTGCACAATAGTATCCACTAGAGTCGTGCAATGCACCAGCCCTGCTCTCGAGACCAAGCCTCCATCATTAACCCCACCTGGATTTTTGCAGTCACCTCCTCACTGGTTCCCCTGTTTCTGTCCAGCTCCCTTACTTTTCTTCTCAGCATAGCAACAGTAGTGATCCTTTAACCTAAGTCAAACAATGCCCTTCTCTGCTTAAGACCTTCCCGTGGCCTTCCCCACCTAGCCCGTTTCCTCTCTGATTTCTTCTCCCTTGTCTAGCCACTGCTATACCTCCCCAACCTGGAGCAGCAAATGCCAAGATCTGGTCGGGTGGAAACGGAGGGGGACACATGGGTGAGGCACACTGACAGTTGGGTGCAGAGAGCAACGCCCTAATTTGTAGCGCTTGCCAATTTGTGGAGTGTCAATGCAGTTGACCCTTGAACAACATGGGTTTGAACTGCTCGGGTCCACCTATGTGTGTATTTTTTTTTCAATAAATATAGTACCTGTATGTTCCTTTTATAGATCTTTAAAAATTAACTAGGCATGGGGAAAGTTTGTGTTTGGTAGGAAGTCACAATACATGGGATCAGAAGAACTAGGGTTTGAGTCCTGATTCTATCCAAACTATCTCAGCTTCCTGGCCTTGGGTGAATCATTTATCAGTTCTTTTGTTTTTGAGTCAGAGATAGCAGTACTTGGATTTTTGACTGTGGGGTGGTGTAGGCACCCCTGACTCCCCCGTTGTTCAAAGGTCAATTGCACGACCACGGCCAATTTTAAGATCGCTCATGATGCCAACAGTTCAGTAAAATTTAACAATCGACTCTTAGAAGCTGGAGCAAGCTGGTTTGCACTGGTTCCCAGGGTTTGCCCCCTTGACACAGTTGTGTTTCTCAGGCTGGGTGAGGGGTACACAGACGCTTTTTATATCATTCTTTTAAACGTATGTAAACATCACCATATAAAGGCCTACGTGAGAACTACTGAGTGATCATTGTTAAAGACAAGTGGAAGGCCGATTCCTGAGGCCCAGAACGGGACAATGTGAGCTGTATTCTCTCTCCTCTCCCCAGGCACCACCCCTTCTTCAAGCTCAAAGGAAAACCCAGAAAGGCTTCCAGTGGCTGTCTGGTTCCTCGGGTGATGGGGCTCTGAGCCAGGTAGGAGGTTTACCAAGCCCTGGGGACACTGGAGAAGGCATGGAGTAAGGATGGAGGAAAGAAGGGGGCCAGGAAGACTTGACCTTTTGCAATGAGGTCAAACTAGAACGTGGGGCCGGAGAGAAGCCACCGCTTGCTGACCAAGGACCGGCATCCGAGCAATCGGTTAAACGCTTGGGAACGGGGTCCTAGCTCCGGAGGTGACCCGGGAAAAGACTCTGGGACTTTGGAGGCAGAAGAAAAACCTGGATTTGAGTTTCACATCCACCTCCTACTACTCTGGGCAAATTGTTTCCCATCTGCCTGTGATATGGAGCTAGGAGCACTCCCCTGACAAACAGGACCGAGGGGGACCCAGAGGACACATTGCAGATGTCCGGGCCTCCGACCCACACTTTGGCCCAGAGGTGCCACCAGTGGGATCCGAGAAAGAAAAGGGCTGGCCTGTCAGCTACTAATCACTCACTGTGGGAATTCCCTGGCGATCCAGCGGAATTCCATTGCAGGGCGCACAGGTTTGATTCCAGGCCTCAAGGCTCAGCAAAAAAATTAAAAAAAGAGGACTCACTGGGGGCTGCAGGCCAAGCGCCTGCACAGAATCCTGCCATGTTATTAGCCCCGTTGTACCAGGAAGATTGCCTGAGGCTCAGAGGTTAAGGATCCTGCCCGAGGCCACACCCATCGGCTGAGCTGACCTTTGAACACAGGAAGCCTGGTACTGTCACTGTAACCAAAGGTGGCCAGATCAGGGGTGCCCCGGCCTCCTCTTGGCAGATTAAGACACCAGAGGGACAGGGAGAGTAAGGGCTGACTGCCAACTGTATAGTGAGGACAGACTCGCCAGGGGACTGGACATTCCCAGCACTCGGCGTAGAGCCTGGCACAGAGGAGGCCCTTGGTGGCCGTGAAATGAGTGTCCCTGGAGATGTATCCTGGGGTCTTAGATTCCTTTGGGGGTCCAAGTCCTCCCTTGCCCAGTGCCTTGGGGACTATAGGCGTTCACAACCCCCACCCTTGCCCTTCAGCCTGACCTTGAAACAAGTTTGACCGCATGTTGTAGCCCAGATCATAGTAGCCTGAAAAGACGGAGGTGATTTCAGTGGGACTCTGGATCCTGCTGGGCCGTGAGCTTGCCCTTTTCTGGCCCTCCAAGGCTTCACCAATGGCCCTTTGAGCCTGAGTAGGGAGGGAGGGAGGGAGGAGAGACAAGGGGTAGAGAAGCAGCATCAAGTCCCCTATCTCCCCTCTAACTTCTCCTGCCTCTGACCCTGCCTCCACCACCCTCACCCCACCCTTAGCCTGCAGCCTTCAACCTACTCCCAACCTACTCCCTTCAGCTGGCATAGCTGAAGTCCCTCCACACTCCCACACCACCCCACCTCCCACATGGGCCTCGGGCATCAAGCATGAGAACGATCATGAACGCTTCTCCCTACATTGGGTACGTACTGTAGAACATCACCAGGGGACATCTTTATAAGATGATATTATTCCTACATTTTATAAATAAGGAAACTGTGCCTCAGGGCGGGGACTTGCCCATCACATAGCCGGTGACCGAAGCCCTGGCTTGCCTACTACAATGGGAGCGTCACACAAGTCAACTCTAGGTGGCTCCTAATATTTCACCAGGGGCAGCTCCTTCCTTGTACCAATGGGGAAACGAAGGCCCGGAGTGGTTGAGCTCAGGCCTAAGAGCCATTAAACCTGGGTTTGGGTCCCAACTCTGCTGTCTACCAGCTGCTGGTTTGGGCAAGTCTTTGCTCCCCTCTGGGCCTCAGTTCCCCTACTCATAAAATGAGGGTGGGGGCAGAACTGGGTGGCCTTTGCAGTAGCTTCCAGTTCTGATACTTGCCGGCCTGATGACACTTGTGATCTGGGTCACAGCTGGATTAAAAAAATAAAAAAAAAAACAAAAAAAACAGATCTATTGATTTAAGCCCAGGACCACGATGGCCAAAGAGAGAAAGGGCACCTTCCCAAAGCCAGGAGGTGCAGTGAGAGATAGTGACCATACAGCCAACCTCAAGTTGGGACAAGATCCTCCAAGTGGGGCAGGGAGTTTAGGATTGTGACCTCCCAGACTAGCAGGTTGTGAGGCGGGGGTGTACCCCCACCTTAAGGTGACAAAATGAAAAGGGGCCCCGCCCATAGCCTTTGTGACCCTGGCTCTCCTGCTTGCTCTGTGTGACCCTGGGCAGATCGTATCACCTCTCTGAGTCTCAGATTTACCATCTGTTAAAAAAGGAAGCAATGACTCCTGCCTGGCCTGCTGCTCAATGTAGTCACCATGAGGGTTGAGACAGTGGCTTTGAAAATACGACTCAAAATGCCAGAGCAGGTGACCATTTGACCAGAAATGGCAGATAAGTTTCATCTCCACTTTCAGTGGATCAGCATTGAGTTCCTAGAATGATGTACCAAGTGGGAAAAAGTGCCAGAATCGATTAGTGATGTCTGCCATGAATGCGGGCTAGGAGAGCTATGGAATGCATGCTGTGTATTTGCCAGCCTGATCTAGTCTAACTGCCTCACTTTACAGATGTAGAGACTAGAGCTCAGAGAGGAGAAGTAACTTAGCCAAAGTCTTTCAGTATTCTGGGGCAGAGCCAGGATTCAAACCCAAGTCTTCTGATTTCCAATCAATCCTGTCCCCTTTAGGAGACTTGAGCTAAAAGCATCTATTTCAAACACAAGACTTCTAACTGCAGAGTCATTATGGGCCAAGGCTCCAGAATCTGCTGGCCAGTTTGGATCCTGTTTAAGTTTGGTTAATTTACTTAAGCCTGTTAAGCCTTGGGCTTCTAATCCATAAAATGAGGATAATGATAGCACCTCCCTCACTGGGAAGATTGAACGGTTAGATGTGACGACTAAACAGTGCACGGGATCCGGCACAGAGCAAGTGCTCAGTAAACACTACTTTCTGATGATGTTATTACAGGGATTCTGTACTCAAGAGCAGCTTCCCTAGGGGTCCTCATTGTCAGTCTCCATGCATGACCCTCCTGCCGCCCTTAGCCTCCTGTGCCCATTCTGACACCTGCTCTTCGGAGATCAGCTGGTCCACCACGTTGCTCCCAAACTTGTGACGAATGTTGTTGGGAATACTGCTGCTACTCTGGCCCTGTGCCCCCAAGTTGGGGTCTTCCTCCAGCCCCTGGCACGGTTGAGCCCCCTCTCGGAGGGAGGCCCTCCTCTCCCTCGAGGAGGGTCTGTAGCTCTCCTTCTTCAGGGACCCCGGCTGTGAGTCCCTCTGGGGAGAGTCCTGGCTGACAGCCTTCAGGGGTGGAGACCGGATCTCCTCCAGGGAGGCCTGCCCGAGGGAGCTGCCCCGGGGGCTGTGTCCTTGGTACATGGATGGCTGTGGGGAGACTGGGAGCTGGTACTTGAACTTGGAGGTATCCAGTGGGCTACGGGCAGTTCTCCGGGGGTCCGTGTCCTGCTGGCCTTCCTTGCTGTTGTTCAGATGGGCCCTGGTCAAAGTGGTTGTACCTAAAAAGGGAAGAGAGAAGGAAGGAAGGAGAGGAGACAGACAGATGTAGAGAGTGGAGGGCAGGAAGGAAGACGGTGATGGGGGTGGGGGTGGGGGGAACAGACAGACACGGAGCCGCAGAGATCCAGAGCAGGAAAAAAGGCAGGTACGGAAAGAAGTCATGGGAGCCAGAAGCATGGGTGAGAAATCAGGAGAGAGACCAAGGGAGAGGGTAGTTCAGCCCGCCAAGCCTCCCGCTGTACAGGGCAGCCCTCATTGTTTCTGACAATAGGGACTGCAGCCCAAGCCTGACCAGCCTTGGGGCTAGCTGTGTGACCATCAGCAAGGGCTGTGACCTCTCTGTGCTTTAGTGAACCTGGCTCCATTTGGGCAGTTCCCTTCCCCACCTTGAACCCCCCCAGCAATCCAGTCAGGAAAACCAGCAGCTGTGGAAGCTGGCAGAGGGCATCCCTCAGCGTGGCCAAGTCACACGGCTGGAAAAGTACTAGAGCTGGATTGAGCCAGCCTTTGCTCCCCATTTAGAGCTGCTCCCCAGCCCCACTTCCCTCCTCTGTTCTCCAGCTAATGGAGCGGTGTCGTCCCAGCTGCTTCCGGGCTCTCGGACCTCAACCGCTCCCCTCCCCTCCCCCCACCCCACTCCTGCCCTGACTCCCAGTTCCGAGGATCTCCCGTTCCCAGCTTACAGGTCTTCTCCTCATTCTCTTCCCCCATCCCTGGCTCCAGCCAAACAGACCGCCACTTCTTCCCCACCACACCCTGCGATGTCCAACCTCCCAGCGTCTGCTCAGGCTAGTTCGCTGCCCGGAAGGCCAGCCCCTCTTTTTCCCTAAGTCAAAATCCTACTGCTTGGGCTTCCCTGGTGGCGCAGTGGTTGGGAGTCCGCCTGCCGATGCAGGGGACACGGGTTCGTGCCCCGGTCCGGGAAGATCCCACATGCCGCGGAGCGGCTGGGCCCGTGAGCCATGGCCGCTGAGCCTGCGCGTCCGGACCCTGTGCTCCGCAGCGGGAGAGGCCACAGCAGTGAGAGGCCCGCGTACCGCAAAAAAAAAAAAAAAATCCTACTGCTTCCTTCCAACGCAGCCCCACCAGGAAGTCCTCCCTGACACCCACCCCAAGCTGCCAGGGCCATCGCCTCCTCTCAGCTCCACAACTCTGTCCCCAGCACGCTCTGCAGGTCTGTCTGGATTTTCCCCTTCTCCATCCTTGTGAGCTACAAACCCTCTCATTTCTCTCCTCCATGCGGCAGGGGAGTCACTGAGGCAGGTCCACAGGTGAGTCAGTCCTGGGCCTCCCTCAGCACCCCCCAGAGCCCTGTGTACCAGAGATGCTGGTGACACCCATCAGTGAGCGAGTGAATGAATAGATGGCTGCAGGGGTGTCAGACCCAGGGTCACCCTGCACCCCATCAGTTCTAAAACGTCCTTCCTTCTCATGTTAGCATCGCTGACAACAGGCTGTGTCTGACAATCAATGGGCCCTGGTCTAACCAGCGATGTTTTCTTTCTTAGTGACAGGTAAGTAACAGTGCATCTTACAACCCACTGGATGGAGACTTAAAATACACATTTTGAATAATGTTTTACACATTATAATACCCAAGTAATATGTAAACTCTTTCTTACTGGGCAAAATATAGAAAACGAGTCAGTCCCCACCCTCTCCCCACTTCCAGCCATGCCCACAATCCTCAATCCCAGGTTATAGCTGTAAGCTTCTTTGAAGAGCTTCCCTCCCAGACGTTCTAGGTGGGTCCTAGCGCTTTTGAAAGATGCATAGTTTGGCTTCACTTTGGTTTACAAATGCGATCAGATTCCATGTATTGCTTTGTAACTTGCTGTTTAAAAATTTAACACTGTGCCTTGGGGATCTCTTCTTGGCCACAAACACACACCTAACTTTCCTTTCAAACCGTGCAGGCTTTAGCGACTGCCCTGCCGGTGGATGTCCAGGTTTCTTTTTCAGAGAAAGCCGCTGGAAATGGCAGGTTTTGCCAGCCACAGAGGTTTTTATTTCAAGCCCCCCTTGCCCACCCGTGGGGGCTGCAGACCCTTCCCCAGGGCAGTAGAGACAGAGAAAGCTGAGGTCCAGGCCTGCCCGCTTCCTCCTCACCCTTCTCCTCCCCCCTATCCTCACCCCATGGAGCTGAAGTCGGAGGATCCTCTTCTTGACCTTCTGTCATAGACACAAAAGAGGAAAAACCTGTTCCCCAGAGACCAGACTGCCTACCCTCCCTCCCATCCTGGGTTCTGCCCCCACAAGCAGATAGCCAAGCAAAGGGGCGCTTCTGGGGACAACTAAGGCTTCCAGGATGGGGACAGTGACCCTTCTCAAAAGAATGGAGGCGGAGAGCATTAAGAGCAGTCAGCACCAGCCTGGTCAACCACGGCCCCTCCCTGTGCTCGTGGGGAGACTGAAGCCCAGCGCAAGCCTGGGCTCCTGAGCCCGTAGGTCTCAGGGCTCAGGACTCCAGGATCCGTGCTCCCATCTCTCCCAGGCTATGCTCCTGCCCGCCTCTAAGCACAGCGAATGTAAATTGTCTGCTCACCCTCCACCTGCCCTTTGGGCTTAGGAGCGCTCTAATGGCCAGGACCGTGTCTCGTGTCCCCTGGCTCAGAGAGCCAATACCTTCACCAATTCAGCCATCAGGCGAGCACCTACCGTGTGTCAGTGCTGTGCTAGGCACTGGGGCCCCAACAGTGAGCTAACTGGGTCAGCCCCCATCCTCTTGGGCTTAAATGTTTGTGGAATGAATGAATGAATGTCTGTAGCTGGCATTCCAAGAATCTCAGTGCGGTCCCACGCTTCCTCCACTCCCTTCCCCTGTACAATGGGCAGAGTTCATCCTACTTTGCTTGCTGTTGTGAGGATCAAGCGATCAGTCATCAGAGTTCTCCAAGCTGCGTCATTTATCAGAATCCCCGGCAGGCACTCATTAGAAATACAGATTCCTGGGCCCCTCCTAGAGCTGCTGCAGCAGAATCTTCTTGTGAGAGGCTGGGATTTGAGTGTTTAACTAGGCCTCCAGGTCATTCGGGTCTTTGGAGAGAGCTTCCAGCAGGAGCCTTGCCCCAGCGTCCCTCTCTCCACATCCCACCCGCCAGCCCCAGCCGCCAGCCCCTCACCCGTGGGGACCTTTCTCAGAGCTGACCTGACCCAGTCATTCCTACATGGAAACCCTTCCCCTCGTCCTCAGGGCAGAGGCCCTGCCCTTGGGATCGGTCCCAGGACCCCAGCCCAGCCTCCTTGCCCACCTCCCTTCTCCAACCTTCAAGCCATATTGAATTTCATTCAGCTTCACCAAATCACCAGCCCACTCTAACTTCCAGACCTTTGCCCACACTATTCCGCAGGCCTGGGACGCGCTTTTCTCCCCTCCTTGGGCCACACCACTCCCTGCTTTTGGCTCACTCAGGACCTACATGGACCTTCCACTCACAGAGACCAGGCCCCTGCTGTGTTCTCCCATATCCTGCCTTTCTGGTGCACAAAGGGTTGCTGCTTTGCCCCTGAGCCTTGAGAGTGAAGCCAGCAGGACCCTGTAGGGCCCTCCTGGGCACAAAAGCCTTTCTGGGTTCCCCATTTCTTATTTGCAAGTTAAAGGCTTCAGCCACCCTAGACCTTCCCTGAGTTCCTAAGGGCAGATTCAAACAGCTGCTACTCAGGGAGAGGAAGGAATGCGGAAACAAAGGAGGAACCATCCAGAAACAATAGTGCAGGGAATTCCCTGGAGGTCCAGTGGTTAGGATTCTGCACCCTTGCACGGGTTCAATCCCTGGTCCGGGAAATAAGATCTCACAAGCCACGTGGTGCAGCGAAAAAAAAGAAAAGAGCAATAGTGCAGTGATTAAAGCAGGGTCCTAGTTCCTCCTCGAGCGATGTACATAACAATATCTTCCAGTTCTTCTCAGGAACTAAGGTGCCAACGCAGGTGGAGGACGGTAAGTTCAGGCCAAGCACAAGACTCCTGGAGCACCGCCCTGCTACCTCACCACCAGCCAATCAGAAGGAAGCCACACACCCTGCAGCCCTCGCCCTAAATTTTGCCTATAAAAACTTCTCCCTGAAAACCATCAATGAATTTGGGGGTTTTGAACAAGAGCCACCCATTCTCCTTGCCTGGCCCTGCAATAAAACTTGCTCTGCTCCAAACTCCGATGTTGCGGTTCGTATGGCCTCCCTGTGCCTCGGGCACGTGAACTTGTGTTCGGTTACAAGAGGGGACACTGCAGTGGGGTCATAACCCCCAGGCCTGGCAGATGGGAGAAGCTCAGCAATACTCGTGCCCTCTCTTTTCCTTCTGTCTTCGAACGGAAGCCCTGAGGAAGTTAGGGCCACGTGGTGGGTCTGGAGGCCAAAGCAAGACTGAGGGAGAGGGGGAGGGGGCTGGTCTCTGCTGCCCCCAGGGGGTCCCTCCGGAAGTCCTGCATGTGCATTCAGCATGTCCCTGGTCCCCCGTCCTACCTGCTTTGTGGTCCAGCTCCATCAGCTCTTGCTCTGCGACAGGTAATTCCAAGCTTAGCTCTGCAGACAAAGAAATACACACGGTCATCTCAGATGACAGAGAGGGCTGAACAGGACGGCCTGTGACCGTCTGCCCAGCCCCTGACCAGAGGTCCCTCCGTGCTGCTTCCAGTGCTCTCAGGTACCCAGGAGCCCCCGCCCCATCCACCCACCACCCCTGGCACTGGGCCTGCTTCCTCGACCCTTGCAGGCTGTGCTGTCTGTGGAAAGCCCTGGTCACACCCATCACCTGTGCCTCAAAGGCCCTTCTCAAACAGACTGGGGGCCTGGGACTCCCCTTCTTCCTTTGCAATCCTTTTCTTCTATAATATTTTCTTCCCCATCTGTACCACCCAACACTCCCCTAGGAGCCCCCAGCAGACCCCTTGCTGGGAGGGGCATTGCCCCAAGCCCACCATCCTGGTGACTGTTTGCCTCTCTGCAAATAGGATTTTGCCCGTTCTTTTACCAGCTGGTCATTCAAGGAAAGGAACCAGCTTGGCCAAGGTGGAGGAGAGCCAAGAGCAGGAACGGACTCTGGGATGATCTCAGCCTTTCCTCCAAAGAACAGGCCTTTGGGTCAAACTAGAGTGCCAGCTCTGGCATCTTCAGAAGCCCCTGCAGCTTTCAAGTTTGGGTTCCTTTTTCCTAGGTCATCTTTTTCTTATTCATATTCTCTTATTTTATTGCATGTGTTTTTTTAAAGGCTTCTGTGAATTTTGTAATTCAACTAGGATAAGACAGTTTATTGTATAATTGGATAAGCAGCAAGTCAGAGCTGGAAGGGATCTTTGAGATTAGCTAATCCAGTCCCTTCGTTTTATTTATTTATTTTTATAAATTTATTTATCTATTTTATTTTTGGCTGTGTTGGGTCTTTGTTGCTGTGCAAGGGCTTTCTCTAGTTGCGGCAAGCGGGGGCTACTCTTTGTTGCAGTGTGTGGGCTTCTCATTGCAGTGGCTTCTCTTGTTGCAGAGCAAGGGCTCTAGGCACACGGGCTTCAGTAGTTGTGGTGGGGGGTCTCAGTAGTTGTGATGCATGGGCTTAGTTGCTCCACAGCATGTGTGATCTTCCTGGACAAGGGCT